TATAATTTATAATTTAACACATTTTATATATAATAACCATTTGATTGCAAAACTATAACCAAACCCAAAACCTGAAGACTCTCATAGAGGAGAGAGCAGTATATCTGAGAAAAAGTTACATATTTTTCTCAATTCATGTAAAGTGTATAATATTTTTACTTGTGTTTCTGTATCTCTCGGATATACAGTATATTTAACGGTATATTAAAACTAGTGTTGAAATATATATATTATATTTCTGTGTATGTGTTTTCCATTGCAACACTTATTTAATCATCGTAACTATTTGAAATAAATCAACATTCACATTTTTCATTAACTTAATCAGTAGTTATGTCTACTAATCGATTGTAAGACGTATTTCTTTATTTTTTACATTAATTGTTTAATGTTTAGTATATTTTAAATGTGTTTTAAATTTTTATTTAATGCTTAAATAAATATTTAATATTTATTTATGATTTAATGAAATAGTATTTATAGTGATATTTATAAGTTGTGTTTAAAATAGTATTTATATTTATATAACGTATATCTAGGTAATAGATATTACACAACATACCTAGAACCATTATTCATTGATAATAATGTATTATTTACAGTGAAAGCTGGCAATCATAGTAAAAAGTTAACCAAGTGTGATATAATGTTTTAGTACTATTTGTATTAAAAATATTAAATACAATTTCAATAAACCGTGAAAATAGTGCGAAAATTTCAATGAGACGTGAGATAGAAATTTTAGTGTAAACCTCTAATTATGCTTAAAAATAGGCAACAAATTGTTTTGCAATTACTATTCACTTTTGACAAACTAATAATTAATATATGATTTAGTGTTTACTATATGGTAAGAAAAATTATTCCACTAATTGATCATGTGTGTTTTCCACTTTTCAATATAGCTTTGGTGTGAAAATACTGAAACAAATGCCGTATAAAAGTAAGTCAAGGAAGAGAAGAGTTGATAAGATGCCAACCGATGGTAGTAATAACGGCACCGGCAATACCGGGGCTACCAGTGGTGGCAACACTACCACCACCGGCGCCGGCATACCCATGGATAACGTGGTCGTACGTGTTAATAGCCACAGCAAACTGGCCACCACTGGGTCGGGCGCCAACTCGACCACACACTCGGGCTCCCCATCGCCCACCGTTATGGACGCCAAACCCATCCCTTTCCGCGAGTTTGACCACTATTATCGGCTCCGGAGGGCCGACTCGGGCTTAAAATTGGCCGAAGAGTACGAAGAGCTGAAGGACTGGATGACCGCCAGGAATAGGACCACAAAGATATCCCAGTTTACCATCAATAAGCCCAAGAATCGTTTTGTGAATATACTACCATGTGAGTGCAGTTTGGTTGTTTTGTTTTATCAATGTAATTTTGTGGTGTATTTTATTTATTTGTGATCGTGTTTTTTTGAATTTGGTTTTGGTTTTGGTTATAGTTTTTATTAGTTTGTCTTTTCATTTGTGTTAATGTTTTGCTGTTAAGTAATATTTTTGTGTTTGGTTTTGATTTCATGCCAAACATTTTTATATGTTTTTACGTTTGATGTGAATATAACTGTATATTATTTGCCCGAAATACCATATAATTTCATTAAACTCTTTTATAATTATAGCTCTCTCTCTCTCTCTCACAACAGACACATCAGACTTAATGCCACATGGCAA